CACACACACACATATAAAATAAAAGGGATTTGGTCATTTCCTAATAAAAATGAAGACACTCAGTCATTTGAGATTTGGCAGACCAGCATACAGTTTGGCAAGTAGGTAACACTGTGCTCTGTCTCCTAGAAATAGTAACTGAAGCAGGCCAGGATGGTGGGTCCCTATGGACTCAGCACACATGCCGTCTACCTGGCTCAGTCCCCCTGACAGGTAAACAGATGCTTTGCTCTGATGCCAACACCCACCCAGTAAGGTTCCTGAGGTATTTCACATGCTGGCGTACTCTGTCTCCACACACTGGAGTAACCCTGACTACTCAGCCCTCCTCACCTGATCGTTATCAGTCTCTTGAACGAAAAATGCTTCTCCATTATCTCCTAATTTCATGTGCAAATCCACAGACTCCCCATTGATTTCAATGTCCACCTGAAGGAAAAACACAGTTGAGAACTCGGTGAGCTGCCTTCCTCGCCACTGGAAACCTGGAGATGCCCACGTCCCTGTATAAGCACTCTGACCACACATATCCTGGAAGCACATCACAGCTCCAAGTTTCAATCAGTGTACCTAATCCAAGCACACTTGTCCTGAGCATTGGGAAGGGAAGTTCTTCACTTTCCAAACTTGACAACATTGGTCCATTTCTCTTCTAGAACTTTCCCACTCCCCACCAAAATGGGAGGAATAATATTTCCCCCTCCACAGGAGGATGAGGAAGGCTTGTGATTGTCCCCAACCGGTAGAGTACAACAGAAGTGACCCCCATGTGACTTCTGAAGCCAGGTCTCAGGATACTGTGTTCCTTCCCTCACCTTCAGCCACCTTGCAATTAGGGAGCCCAGTAACGCGGAGGTGGTCAAGCCAACAGACTCAACTAATTGAGCACAGAATCAAGAGGTAGAACCCAGCCCTCTAGGCATAGGAAGGAGCAGGTAATTCAGGTGACTGGGTATTCAGCCTTGAATCTTCCTAAGAAGTTCATAGACAAGCCTTGCCCTTCTGTGCCCTCAGAACCTGATGAACAGTGGAGTGTGCCTGTGTTTTAAAGTGACTAACACTGCCATAGTAATCAGAATAATGTGATAATAACTGTTAATTCTGCAAATAGCCATCTTGGGTGCAGAGTCTAAGAACTCAGAACACAGGACAGCACCCACATGATGCTGTTCTCAGGAGTGGAGCCAGGGCCTCACCACTTTCTCCCGGGAGCGTAGGACACCCATCTTCCCAAAGCGGACATGGAAAGGAGAGCACTGTAGACTGCCATTGGGCTGGCGGATGACGATGATGTCAATGCATCCAGACAGTGTGGCGGGGTTCAGCCCTTTGTAGAGCTCCTTCACGGTCACAAACACCTGGCCGGCCAACTGCCCCACGTAATTCATGGTCTGAACCTGAGAGACAGACAGGACACACATCATTCACAAAAGCAGTTAATACTGGAAGACCATGCAGAACCTCCAAAGTCAATCCTCCATTTCAACAGTCTCCTCTCATAGTTTGCCCAGAGCAGCACCCAGGCCATGACACATCTCTCCCACACTATCAAGAAGCTCAACATCCTCCCAACCTCAGGGCTGAGCACAGACAGACCAGGCCTCAGGAACCCTAACAGCAGCAGGTGCCCCTGGCCTTGGACTGCTCAGTCATCCATGAAAGGTGATGGTTTTTGCCTTAGTGGCTGTTGCCACTTAGTGGCTGTTGTGTACCTCACTCTGGCACTGCATGTAGACTGGACACCAGGCATGTCAAACTTATGGCCCAAGGGCCTCATGTATCCCAGGATGGCTATCTATGTAGTCAAACACAACTATATGCAGTAGCACTGCCTCAATTTCAAATACATCCTGAGGCTCTTGTATAAAGAGATCATTTTATATAATGTGTGGCCCAGCATCCATAGCTGTACCACATGAAATAACAATAGGAGGGGAAAAACAGGAAAACTCAGACTGAAAAAGGGAAACAAAGACTATCTGCACTCCTATCCTTCCATTCTCACAGTCCTAGATACCCTCTTCCACCATGTTTCCTGGGCCACAGAGAACATGACCTCAATGTCCCATCTGGAGCCAAACACTGAGAAGTCACTTATTCTCAGTATTTTGACCAGTTATGAGGCCCCACTATGACCACTGCCCACTGTCAAAAAGCTTCTCTGAGTAAGACAAGAGTTGCATTGGTCTTTAAGTATAAATATTTAGGGGCTGCGAAGATAGCTCAGCCAGTAAGAGTACTTGCCACCAAGCCTGACACCTTGAGTCCAATCCCCAGGACCCACATGGTGGAAGGAGAGAACCATCTCCTACAAGTTGTCCTCTGACTTTCACACATTAGCCATGGCAGTGGCATGCACATGCCCCCATACATATATACAAACTGACTGACTTTGATTAATTAATATAATAAGCATGAATATTTAGAAGGCACTTTAACTACTGTCCATTTGGCAAAACATCGGCAGTAGATTCCCCTATAGGGCCTGTGACCTCCCTAGACACAGATTTTTGACCAGTTCTGCAATGACAGTCATGTATTCTCATGTATTTGAACAGGCCTCAAAAACAATCAGGAAGCAGTTAGTTAGCCCCAGAACATTCAAGCCACTATTGTACCAGTGGGCCTATCATGCCAGGCAGTTCAGTATTGTAGCATGCAGGGTCTACACCTGGATATGATTGTTTGTGACTTTTCTCCCCCAGCAGCCCGTAGAAATGATTTATAAAATGGACATGATCTGGATTAATGACTTTTAATTAACCTTGGAAAACTCATGGAACTATGCTCTTGCACCCTGAGTACCTGATCTTGTTTCCTGGGAACCTCAATTTGCTATTCCACCCAAAGATAGGAAACAAATGTGGGTATACTTGAGAATTAACATACCAAAGCACTGAAAGACAATTGTATCTTCATTGAAAACATGAAGACTGAGAAAAGACACTTGACATTGTGTGCTTGCAATTCTAAAACTAGGGATGAAAAGGTGAGATTATCTGATAAGGGTGGATCCAAGCTTGTACTTCCCTAACCAAAGGCAGAGAACTGGTTTTGAATAAAACTAAGGGTGAGGCCTGACTCTAGGACACTGTTCCAGGGCACAGTTCCAAGAGTCATCTGGGGAAACAGGTGTCCTCTGAGTTCAGGTCCACTCTTAAAAACTAAAATTAAGAGTCAGGTTGTTTCACTGAGGTAACTGTACCGTGGCATGGTAGCACGCAGCCTGCACAGCATTCTGACACTATGAATGTTAGCCAACAGGGAGACAAATGACTTTTATCAGGTTTTGCCCCAGTCCCTGTCTACCTGTCTATTCTCTGCCAACTCCAGGGAGCACATGTGCTATGCCATTTGCCCAACCAGATAGTAGTCATTCATCAGCCTCTGCTAACATTCACGGTTCCTACTATGCAGAGCTTGGTGCTGCAACTCATAAAAAAGACACAGTCCCTATCCCCTACAGGGACTCCTAGGCTTGTGAAGGGCAGACAAGTAACACACTGGTAGCCAAAATAAAGTCACCAGGTAGATGGCAATGGTGGCACATACTTATAATCACAACACCTGGGAGGTAGAGGCATGAGGATCAGGAGTTCAAGGAGACAACCTGGGCCTACATGAACACTGTGTCTCAGAAAACAGAACAAAAAAGGGAAAGGTATGGTTCCCAAAAAGATGTACAATATAAAAGACATGACACTGTAACCCTAACACTTCTTGTGCTGAATGTCCTCTGTGGTAAACTTGGACTTTAACATGTTCTGTTCATCAAAAAAAGGAAAGCTTCCATCTCTACAGCTCTGTGAGAGCATTAATGGTGTTTTCGCACAATTTCTGTCATGTATCCAATCTCATGTTCATGTGCCTCTCACAATAATCCCATAGGTAGGAGGCCTTTCACATGAGGAAACTCAAGGCCAAGTTCAAATACAACAAAGCCAATGCCCATGAACACAGGCTGGGAGTCAGGCCGCCAGACCACATAGGCTCACTGGATTCTGAAGTAACCCCTGCTTTGCTCTGGGCAAGCCCCTTCTGGTGCCTTCCATGGTCTCCCCTAATTCCGTCCTCCTCCTACAGGTTCTTTTCTTATCAGTGAATAACAGACCAGCTCCCCAGCAGGGAGGCCCCAGCCCTGACCAGCACAACTGAAATGAACTTTGGTATTTGTCATGCTGTCAGTACAAACACAGTTCTCACTTCAAAAGGAGTAAAAGATAGTTTACTCTGAGCCAAATATGAGTGACCATGGGCTAAGAGCACAGAGTCAGGTTGTCCTAGATAGCATGTTCCATTGTGGAAACAGTTATATGAGATTTTACTACAGAACAAAGAAAATCACAAATCAAGACATGTATCAAATACATTAGTTACACGTTTCAGATGCTATCTGATGGCATTCTTTGTTTTTGGACTGGGATAAGAATATATTGTAAAGGCATTGATAGTCTAAAGAAAGTTCAGTCAGGCATAGGAGTGGGCAATGAATGGCTATTCAGGAGCTAAATGTAGTCCAAGAAAATTTGGGTCTGGATCCTCAACGTTCCAACTCTCCACAGTCAAAGTTCTACTCTGCAAGGCATTCAGCCATGTAGCATCTTTATTACTGTATGGCTTTTTTTCTTGGAACTTCTGTTTATATTTCATTGGAAAGAAAAAGCTCCTAAGGGGAGGAAATTAACAAATCTCTGCATTCCAGCTTCCCGGCTCACAATGAGTGAGCCTAGGGTCTTGGACACTGGCAACATCAATTCCAGCTCTAACTGGTGAGAAAGGGGATGCTTCCTCTCAGCTTAGCACCCAAAGGGCATCCTTAAACATCATAGCTAGAAGTTGCTCTGCCCTTGTGCCCTCAAGAAAGTAACCTTCCCAGGCACAGGCACTCTGGACCTGGAAGAGAGCCCAAGGAACCTGATTGCTTTGTTGCTCCAACAGGCTCTTTTTAGTGAGAAAAGTCCAGAAATAGTGTCTTAGGCAGAGCTGTCCTGTGGACATAGCAAGGATTCAAACTCCCTGGGTAAACACTTACTATGGGAACAACAGGACTGGGCTGGTATATTCTCCTACTGAAAAGAGCCAGAAGGTACACCAGTATTCTGCCACCCACAGATCTCCCTCTGCTGAAAACCCCTACAAATGTGAAGAGACAGAGGGGAGCTGTGTGGGAACAGGGACGCTACTCAGAGCCCCACCTAGGAACAAGCTCCTTAGAATTGTCCTTGACATCTAGACCCTGGGGCTGCCTAGACAAGTGGACACTAAGCATTTTAAAAAAACAGAACACTACCTCTCCACACTCACAGAGATGACTACTATTGACCAGAAAACAGCAAGTGTTGGCAAAGAAGTGGAGAAACTGAGACCTCTGCATGCTGTTTGTAGAAATGTAAAACAGTACAGTCACTAGGGACACAGGTGTGGCAATTTCTCAAAAAAATTAAAAATAGGGTCTGGAAAGATGGTTCAGTGGTTAGGAACACTTGCTGCTCTTGAAAAGGACCGAGGTTTGGTTCACATCAGGGGCTCACAACCACCTATAACTCCAGTGCCAGGAGATCTGATGCCCTTTGCTGGCCTCCGCAGGCACTGCATGTACATGGTGCACATACAAAGAAGTAGGTATGCATACATACACATGAATAAAATCACATAAAAATTTTTCATTAAAAACAGAATTACCCTACAACCAAGAAATTCAACATCAAGGTATACACTCTGCACACCCATGTTCACAGCAGATTTATTCACAATTTCCAAAAGGATGAATCAACACAAACATCCACTGATAAGAGAAACAAAATGTGGAACAACTGACTAGTACAGTTCCTCTTCAAGAGGAAAAATCTGAGGGCTGGAGATGTGCCTCAGTGGATAAAGCACTCTCTGTGCAAGTGTGAGGACTGGACTTCAGATCCCCAGCAGCCATATAAAAATCAGGCAAGTGTGGTAGCCCACCTGTAATCCCAGCTCTCGGGAGACAGAGACAGGAGATGCCCAAGGCAAACTGAATAGCTGCTAGGCTAGGCTTATTGGTAAGCTCTGGGTTCAGTGAGAGACCCTGCCCTGGCTAAAGACAGTAGAGAGGAAGACACCTGCTATTAACCCTCAGCCTCCACAATGCATCCATACACACATGTGCCCACATAATGCAAACATAAACACACACACACACACACACACACACACACAAGCGCGTGCACAAATCCTGCTAGCTACTATAACATGTTTAACCCAGGAGGGCAGTGGGATAAGTGAAAGAAACCAGTCATAAGAGCTGCCTAGAGAAGACGCCTCAGAGATGCAAGTGAACAGATACTGGGGCTGAGAGAGGACAGAAATGTGGAGTGAGTGGCTGATGGGCATGGGGTTTCAGTTCTGGAGTGTGGACTGTGGC